TTAATTTTTGTAAGAGAAGAAGAAGTTGAAAGGATTGATTCTCGAAAGACTAACAAACTCAAGAGCTTGGAAAGAACACTCGGTCCATACAACGAACCTTTGAAATATGTTTCTTTACTATATTTGACTTTTTGTGATAGGATAAAACCTCAAATACATGCACCGACGAGAAAATACGTTCACATACCGAAAATTCGATTGCTGAGGAGGGTACGAATGCTGAAAACAAATTGCGCACAAATTCCAACGGTTTTCCAGCAAAGAAGAAAAAGTCGAGGGATGTAAATGTGTTTGTGAGGCGATCTGGGCGTCTCAAAAATTTAGTTTCATCTTCCGAAAGACAAGGGGTCAAACCCCTGGTGGATCATATTGACCTTGATGAAAACGAAAAGGAAGATGAAAAAGAAGAAGAACAAAAAGAAGAAGAACAAAAAGAAGAAGAAGAACAAGAAGAAGGAGAACAGCATTTTCAGGAAGATAGTGAATCGCCAGTCGTGAAGGAAACTAACTCGGAAGTAGAAACGGAAACGAAAGAAAGAAACATGGAAGAAAATGTTGACTATTTCGTTGAAGCAGCTGAGGAATTCAAGTCTAAGGTTGTTTATTTTGTGTTTATATAGTATGAACTTTATATTTTTAATTTCTTTATATATATATATGTATGTATATCTCTACGCTGATGAATCTAGTGCTTCTTTGGTTAAACAGGTCGCTATTAAACCTCACGATGGACATTCTAGTAATTTCAGCTACAAAAGCTTGTACATCGACTCACAGAAGAAGGTTGTGATGTTTTTTTTTTTCTTTTCTTTTGCTGTTGCGTAAAATAATTATTTTGCTCTTACATCGAGAATTTTTTTTTTGTTTTTTTTGTTTTTTTTTTTTTTTTTTTTTTTTTTTTTATAGATTGAGGCATTGATGGAGGCAAACTATGCTCTAGTGAGGAAGTTGGATTTTGCTCTTGGAAAAGTTGAAGCGGTAATTTTAACTTTTAAGCTACACCTTTGTGTTTTTCAGTTTTTATTTTTCATTTTATATGCAAATAACATACCACTAGAAACGGGAAAAAGATATCTACAAAATCATCTATCTGAACCATTTACGGTAGCAAATGAATACCCTTTTCCTGTTCGTTCCCCTAATATACGATTTTTAATGTAATTTTCTTGTTTTATTAAATTGTGACTGGTAAATTATTACATTTTAAATTGTTTTGTCGAATGTAATAATATTATCAGTAACGGTACTTACATTATATTTTTGTTATTTTAATCGTTTTCTTATGACAGTATGAGAAGATGAATTTTGCTTTGGGTGCTTCAAAGGAAGTATTCTTAGTCTCGACTATGTCGAAACAGAAGGAAGCCACAATAAGTTTATCTCCTCAAACGGTTGAAAAACGTATGGATCCTCCTCCCGATGCAAAGCCAGATGCTACCGATGATGATTCTAAGCGGAAGAAGAAGAGTTACAAGAAAAGTAATGCCAAGGCTTAGTAACAATGTCAAGAGTTGTTTTGAATGATATTATTATATATGATGCAATAGTTAATGTTTTGCTATCGTTTATGTGCCGGTTAAGCCTATGTTTAAAAACAACTCTTTTAAGACCTCCTGCCATTTAATGTTGATGATTTCGACTTAGTTTTCTTGTGTAAAATATATATTTATGAAAAAAATTATTCAACTTGATTTTAAATTCAAATCATCCTCATCTT